AGTATGTACAGTGAAGCCGCTTGGCACACATTTTCTTGTGTACTGTAAAGGCATATACATTATTATATGGTTATCGTTCACTTCCGTTCTTTATAGTAGTGTTTGGAAGGAAGTTGCGTAGAGTGTGGTCGTCTCACGACACCACAGAGGTTACATCAGTGACCATGGCTTGTGATGCAGTTTTTGGTCAATCCCAACATTCTTCCAGATCAGATCAGACACCATATTCCTCAGATTTCACTACTTGCCACTTTTAACCTCTTTCCAAAAATCGAATTTCACTTAATAGGAACAAAATTTCAAGCTGTAGAGGAAATCCAAGAGAATATCACGAGGCAGCTGCTCGTTATCCCAAAAGGGGGTTCCAAGAATGCTTCCATCATTTGAAACGACGCTTGATAATATGCGTAGCTTCAGAGGAGGACAACTTCGAAGGAGATTAAATTCCGAATTTATGTGTTATAGTTTACTTTTTATACCAACAGACCCGATACTTTTTGATCAGATCTCGTATATATATATATGTATATATATATATGTGTGTGTGTGTATGTGTGTGTGTGTGTGTGTGTGTGTGTGCGTGTGTGTGTGTGTGTAATTTGTTCGAAAATTATAACAAATATGTTATAAATATTATAAAATATTTATTTATAAATAAATACAGAAGTTTAAACACTGGAGAAGCGTTTTGACAGATATGTGACATCGAAATCCGAAGCAAAATCTAAGCAAAATATTAAGAAACTGGTGAAACAAAGAAAAGACTAATGAACTGCTATTTAATATCAGTCCTTCCATATGGCAGTGGATGCTGCACAATAGCCCCAAAGATGAAAAGGAGACTTGAAGCAAGAGAGATGTGGTTCTACAGAAAGACAATGAAAATAAAGTGGGCAGAAAATGGAAGTAATGCATTGCCAATGATTTTTACTATAGAAAATGAAATGGAAATGATTCTATATATGAATTCATTCAAAATGGCATTGCCAACGGTTTTTACTAGAGGAATGCATTGGAAATGATTTTTACTATAGGAATGCATTGCCAATGATTTTTACTATAGTAATGCATTGGAAAGGATTTTTACTATAGGAATGCATTGCCAATGATTTTTACTATAGTAATGCATTGGTAATGATTTTTACTATAGGAATGCATTGCCAATGATTTTTACTATAGGAATGCATTGCCAATGATTTTTACTATAGGAATGCATTGCCAATTATTTTTACTATAGGAATGCATTGCCAATGATTTTTACTATAGGAATGCATTGAAAATGATTTTTACTATAGGAATGCATTGGAAATGATTTTTACTATAGGAATGCATTGCCAATGATTTTTACTATAAGAATGCATAAAATGAAAATGATTTTTACTATAGGAATGCATTGGAAATGATTTTTACTATAGGAATGCATTGCAAATGATTTTTACTATAGGAATGCATTGCAAAGGATTTTTACTATAGGAATGCATTGGAAATGATTTTTACTATAGGAATGCATTGGAAATGATTTTTACTATAGGAATGCATTGCCAATGATTTTTACTATAGGAATGCATTGCAATTTTTTTAATATAGGAATGCATTGCCAATGATTTTTACTATAGGAATGCATTGGAAATGATTTTTACTATAGGAATGCATTGCCAATGATTTTTTACTATAGGAATGCATTGGAAATGATTTTTACTATAGGAATGCATTGGAAATGATTTTTTTTTAGGAATGCATTGGAAATGATTTTTACTATAGGAATGCATTGCCAATGATTTTTACTATAGGAATGCATAAATAAAATGATTTTTTTACTATAGGAATGCATGAAAATGATTTTACTATAGGAATGCATTGAAATGATTTTTACTATAGGAATGCATTGCCAAATTTTTTTAGGAATGCATAATGATTTTTACTATAGGAATGCATTGGTAATGATTTTTACTATAGGAATGCATTGCCAATTATTTTTACTATAGGAATACATTGCCAATGATTTTTATTATAGGATTGCATTGGAAATGATTTTTACTATAGGAATGCATTGCCAATTATTTTTTCTATAGAAAATGAAATGTAAATGATTCTGTATATGAATTCATTCAAAATGGTATTTCCTATAAGAATGCATTGCCAACGGTTTTTACTATAGGAATGCATTGCCAATGATTTTTGCAATAGAATTTCATTGGAAATGATTTTTAATATAGGAATGTATTGCCAATGATTTTTAATATGGGTGTGACTCAATTTAGCTATGGTAATTGGCTAACGAATTAACCATAGAAATTAAAAACAGGAAAGACTTAAAACGAGAAAGAGCTATATCGAAAGATAGACTGAGCGACGTAAAAAAAGAAGATTTTATTTTATTTACGAAGAAACATACTTTTCGCACGAGACAGAAAATCCGTAAGAAAAAGCGAGATATGAGATTCTGTCAAAATTGATTAATGTCATGCTAAGGGAATGAAGCGCCAAGGGAAACAGAATTCAGAAAAAAAACAAAGCCAGGCGACACATGGCGGTCATTAAAAAATTTCGGCTTGAGACGACCGATACAGGCAGAGTGAATCGATATTAGTTATCTTTCAGCGATATCATTTAATTTTAAATCCTGGGTCCAACGAAGGGAAATCGTCTGGTATGTGTTAGAATGCTGGCATGAGAAAGAAAATCATAAAGAAAATTATTATTATTGCTTATTCAAACTGTTGACGTCAGACACAGCGTCGTCGAAAATGGGCATCTGGTGATAAGAGGATTTTAAGGCATGAGAAAAAATAAGGAATTTGATTGTCAGGTAAAATACGGACCTCCCAGCTAAAAGTTGACTTAGCAGAGAAACCAGATGTCGGGTTTTGACAGTGATTGATGAGTCGGTAGAGAGACCCGACTAAGTGAATTTTGGGTATCCCCAAAAGAAAGATGTGATAAGAATTATTTGGCAATCTGGGGTTTTGAAAAAAAAATTCTTTGGCCGAAGGAAAAAAGAGAAAAAAGGATTTTGTAAACAAAATTCTGCATAAGAATTTTAAGAGGGCCAGTCTAGCAACACCCACACTACCGAGAGATCATTGGTCAAGTGGTAGCATGTGTGATAGGCGGAGGTGAATGTATGAGAAAGACGGAGAAGTTGTTAACACCCACTGAGGAGATTGGTATGAGATACCAATGTGAGAGAGTCTAAAAACTCTCCTCCGACCTTACCTCACGGACGAGGTAGAATCCCCTGAAATGGAAAGTGATTGATCTTCCAAAAATGGAAAGTAATTAATTTTCCTGGCCTAAGAACAAAGAGAATTCTTGTTGGGAATCGAGAATTATCGAGGAACCCAAACCACGTCAGGCCCCACACCGGGTTTTGGTCGGTACCCATATAAACGAACGTCCCCGGGCAGATTTGCAGTTGATTCGCAGTTGGAGTTGGAGTTCAGTCAGAGTGTTGCCTCGCAGAAGCTGACCGAGAAATTTCACGTCCTTCCGACTTCGACTTCCTACCAAAAGCAAGTTATATTGACGAACGACTTAAGATACCAAAACTCGCTTAAGAAACGCAAAAGTGTCACAAATCCATAGAAACGGGCTGGAAGAGAAATATATTCCTGTATATAACAGACGGATAAAGATAATTTGTTATTTCTCAACATATTTGAACCTCTTGAGTTTTGTTTTATTGCTTCTTTTACTTACGCTTGTGCGGTATCACCTTTACCCCAGATTCAGCTTGCACTACAGCCCGACGCCTGATTGATTTCGTCTACCTAAGATCAAAGTCACAACATGGGTAGCTTAGACTTGAGATCAAAGTAGTTACTTCAGTAACCAGACGTTGGAAGTGAGCTAGGAACAACAAAGCTGGTATCGAACCAGGAACATGCCCGACCGGGAGACAGGGTGATGGCAGCAACAAGGCGTCAACCACCAACGCTGGTGGAAGAAACCTTACAGCTTCGCACCGCAACTGGGAGTTGACCACGGGCCGACAGCGCAGTGTCACATATTGGCGTTGCGACCAGGGGACGTCACATATTGGCGCTGCGACTACCAGTGGGTGTCACATACGAATGCATTGCCAATGATTTTTACTATAGGAATGCATTGCCAATGATTTTTACTATAGGAATGCATTGCAAATGATTTTTACTAGAGAAATGCATTGCCAATGATTTTTACTATAGGAATGCATTGGAAATGATTTTTACTATAGGAATGCATTTGAAATGATTTTACTATAGGAATGCATTGGAAATGATTTTTGCTATAGGAATGCATTGAAAATGATTTTTACTATAGGAATGCATTGCCAATGATTTTTACTATAGGAATGCATTGGAAATGATTTTTCTATAGGAAATGCATTGGTTTTTACTATAGGAATGCAATGATTTTTACTATAGGAATGCATTGGAAATGATTTTTACTATAGGAATGCATTGCCAATGATTTTTACTATAGGAATGCATTGCCAATGATTTTTACTATAGGAATGCATTGCAAATGATTTTTACTATAGGAATGCATTGCTAATGATTTTTACTATAAGAATGCATTGCCCATGATCTTTACTATAGGAATGCATTGGAAATGATTTTTACTATGGCATTGCTAATGATTTTTACTATAGGAATGCATTGCCAATGATTTTTACTACAGGAATGCATTGACACTGATTTGTACTATAGGAATGCATTTCAAATGAAATTTAATATAGGAATGCATTGGGAAAATATTTTTACTATACGAATGCATTTCCAATGATTTCAACTATCGGATTGTTTTAATCCGTATCACGTCAAGCAAGGCAATATATCCACTAACACGCAATGGTTTACAGGTTTGGTGGAATGAGAAACAGACACATTAGTTATGAATGCATTGGAAATGAGGAACCTACTAATTTTGTTGTGTCCAGGCGTAATTAAAACAATTTTTTTTTATTTAGAAATCTTATTGTGATATATCTATATCTGGTGAGAGGTCAATTGTGCGTTATGATTTTAATTCCGATAACCCTTGTAATATATTTCACTTGCTTTTTACCGACAGATGGCGTCTGCTTTGTCGACCCCGATTACATAAAGAACCGGAAAGTTTTCGGTCTGATTGTTGTGGCTTTTCGATACGGCCGAGAGGACATGGACGTGATGGGCGTGTCTTTCCGAAAGGATTTCGCTGTCAAACAGATGCAGATATACCCACCTTTGGAGGAGAACAAACACCCCCTCACAAAACTTCAAGTGAAACTTTTGAATAAGCTGGGAGAAGACGCAATTCCTTTCCACTTTGACGTAAGTGATGTGCTTTTTATTATTTTTCGGAATATATATATATACTAGCAGTAGAGCCCAGCGTTGCCCGGGGATGTAACAGTAAAGAGATAGATCAAGTATCGACCATCATAAAGACTGAAAATAAAATTGACAAAGATTATTGTTTAAGGTTGACGGACGCATGTCTTAATTAGTTTTTTTTTGTTTGTTTTTTTTTACGAATTGGTCAAACCCAAACTCAAACAAAAACATTGTTTTCAATCGTTATGAGTCTACCAATTGAATAAAATTTTATTATAAACAACTGTCTTGTAAATGGAATTTTTAAAGCATTTTGAATGTAGAAATAAAGAAAGTGTGCAAGACGATAAGAAACACTACCTGCCAAAAAAAAGTGAAGTTTTGTTGAAATCGGTTGAAAAATGTAGGAAATCCGATACCATATATAAATGAACACACACACACACGCGCGCGCACACACACACACACAAACAAACAACCTGGGTTTTATAAGTATAATACGATATGAGTTGTCCCCCTTTCATTCCGCGAAAGCGATGCCTCTTAATCGTGTTTTCAAATTGATTTCGTGCAAAAACAATTGTGTTTTTTCAAATGTTTGGTGCTGTCAGAACCACCATAAAGGTAATTTTACGTAGTCCTGTGAAGTTTTGTTGAAATCGTTTGAAAAATGTAGGAAATCCGATCCAATATATAAACGTACAGACACACACACACACACACACACACACACACACACACACAACCTGGGTTTTATAATAAGTATGATATATATATATATATATATATATATATATATATATATATATATATATATATTTGGTTGGATTGATGTGAGTTTGTGACCCTGGCTTTACGCTTTATATTTATATATATATATTTATATTTATATACACACACTTTATATTTACATACACACACTTTTCACACACACACACACACACACACACACACACACACACACACATATATATATATTATTTATTTATTTATTTGTGTGTGTGTGAGAGAGAGAGAGAGAGGGAAGGAGATTCAAAAGACATTTATGTTGAATTTTAAGCTAAAAAAGATACAAAGTATAGGAAGTCGTGGAGAGCTACGATCGCCCATGTCCTGAAGGGACAGTGGTAAACAGCGAGTAACCTGCCTACCGAGCTTGTGTGAATGAACAGCAGAAAAGGGAGTAGAATGGAGTGGAAAACGACAACAAATGCTAAATGCTACAAAGAATAGGAAGTCGTGGAGAGTCATGGTCGCTCATGCCCTGAATGGACAGAGGCAAACAGCAAGTTACCTTCCTACTTACCGAGATCGTTTAAATGGATAACAGAAGAGAGAGTGGCAGTAACAGTAAAATAATAAAGATTGTTAAAAGTTACAAAGTTAGGAAGTTGTGAAGAGTCATGATCGCCCATATCCTGAACGAAAAGAAGTAAACAGCGATTAGACTACCTAACCAGCTTGTGTAAATCGATGGTAGAACAGCGAGAGATAGTAAAAAAAATTGCTAGTTACAAATGAAAGGTAGCTGTGGAGGGCCATGATCGCAAATAACCTAAAAAGACAGTGAAACAAAAAGACAGAGTGAAACAGCGACTAACCTACTTAACAAGCTATTATAAACAGATGGCAGAACAGTGAATAAAATGACAGATATTGCTACAAATGATAGGAAGTTGTGGCGAGCCATGATCGCCCATATCCTGAATAGACAGAAGGTAACAGCGAATAACCTACCAAACAAGCTAGTTTAAATGGATGTCAGATCAGGGAATCGGAGGGATCATAAAATGATAGATATTGCTAAGAGCTTCAAAAGATAGGAAGTTGTGGGGAGCCATGACTGTCCATATCCTGAATAGACAGAGGGAAACAGTAACTTACCAAACAATCTGGTGTAAATGGATGGCAGAACATGAAGTTGTAAGGATAGCAAACAGTCAGATATTGATAAGAGTTACAAATGATAGGTAGCTGTGGAGAGCCATGATTGCCCATATCCAAAATATACAGAGGCAAGCAGCGAGTAATCAACCCAATAAGCTAGTGTAAATGAATGGCAGATCAGGGAATGGAACGGCTAGTTAAAAGTCAGATATTGCTAAGAGTTACAAATTAGAGGTAGCTGTGGAGAGCCATGATCTCCCACGTTTTGAAGGGACACGGCACATTAAAGAAGAAAAAATAAGCAGTTAACGTCTATTGCTACTCAGCGTCCTGAGGGGTTGACATGTCGTAAAATCAACCAACCATGAACCAGTTTTCCTACCGTCTGTTCATTTTCAATAATTATGTGAGGGTTATGTAAGATTTTGTTGCAACGGCTCTGCAAACTTTACGATGTCTAACAAATACGAGTAACAAATACGAGTATATTAAATTCACTGTTCTGTCAGTAACTCTTGTATTAATTATTGACCTCCGACTCTCCCATGTTTCTCTTTACTGATGTTGCAATACACTCTTTTATTTTCTAGTTGCCAATAAACACCCCCGACACTGTGTGCATTCAACCATCTGAATATGATGGAGGAGCCGTAAGTATTTACCTATGTCTATTTACCTATCTCAGTCTGTTTATATATACATATATATCCAATATTGCCAAACCCATATATATATATATATATATATATATATAGAGAGAGAGAGAGATAGAGATAGAGAGAGAGAGAAAGAGATGGAGAGAGAGAGAGATTCCATATATATATATATATATATATATATAAACACACAGACATGACAGAATTGAATAGACGCTCACAGAAACCGTTTATTTTATTAAACAAGTATTTTATACAAATGAAGTAATTATAAATGGTCATAAATTTAATAACTAATACTTGGTTGACATCCCTTTTGCTTTTTTTTAATGCAAGGACCCATCTAGGCATGCTAGCGATGAGTTCACGAATATCATCTTCAGGGATTTCTTGCCATGTTTGACGCAATAATCCTAAAAGTTCGGGCTTAGAAGATGGCTTCCTGTTCTTTTTGCGGAGTTTTCAATCTAATATGCCCCAAAGGTGTTCAATAGGGTTAATATCCGGCGACTGACTTGGCCATGGAAGTTTATTGATCCCATTTTGTCTCCACCAATGTTGCGTTGCTTGAGCAGTGTGACATGGAGCTCCATCTTCTATAAATAGGGAGTCAACTTTGCTCATTCTACTACTTGAGAATATTGGAAGGAGCCCTTTCTTTAATATAGAAACATATTTGGTTGAATTAATGTTTCCTTCACACTCCACAAGCTCTGAGTGACCATCACTCCAAATTGCACCCCATACCATTACTGAAAGGCACCCATGTTTCACCGTTGGCTGCAGTCTTTTTAAATCAAACTCTTGACTACAGAGTCTCCATACCCATACTCTTCCACTGTCGGAAAATAATGCGAATCTTGACTCATCAAAGAAAATGACAGTGGTCCAAAAGGTCACAGGTCTCTCCACCATCTCATGAGCCCAATCCTTTCTGCGTTTGATATTGGCTGGACGGAGAAGTGGTTTCCTTCTCGCAGCTCTGCCATAGTAGCCCAGCTTGTGAAGATACCTGACAGCTGTTCTGGGACTGACATCAACTTGTGTTGCTATGTCAGAGGCCTTGCAACGTGGATCCTGTTCAACATTTCTTTCGACAAGACGCATGGTTCTTTCAGAGGGCCCAGGGCGGCCTGGATGAGGTTTTGTGCACTTCTTGCCCTCTCTCTGTTAACAGTAGAAAGAGGTATTGAAAGGTTTTCAGATATTTTTCTTTGACTAAGACCAACTTCATGTTGGCCCACGATACGTCCTCGCTGAAATTCGGAGGGGGTCTGATGCTCCTTTGGTTCATGGCATGTTCCAGTATTGTTATCTGTAATTTTAATCAAATAATCTAAGTTAATTTATCTTGGTTATTAAAAAAAATCAGAAATAAAATTTATCTTGGTGTCTATTCAATTCTGTCTGGTCTGTGTATATGTGTTTATGTAGAACGAATCTATGTATATATGTACGTGTTTTGTAGAGAATGTATTTTTATTAACATATACTTAATAGTTCTGTCATATTACATTGAGCAATATATTATTAACAAAAGCACTCAATATACGATATCGTACACACACACACATATATTCACACACACACACACATATATATATATATATATATATATATATATATATATATGGTGAATATATATATATATATATATATATATATATATATATAATTACAGTGGAACTTTAGATGATGAAATCATGCATCGGATTGCTAAGACTATCAGTGCTTTCGGCAAACTTCGCCATCACTTGTGGAATGAGCGGGGTATTCGACCGGATACGAAAATTCTGGCTTACACAGCCGTTGTACTTGCCATCCTTTTGTATGGCTCAGAGTCGTGGACTCCAAACAGGTACCATGTACGCCAGCTAGACGTTTTCCATAAAAGCTGTCTACGTGCAATCTGTGGAGTTAAGCTTCAAGATAAGACATCTAACGTAGACCTGTTTAACAGGTGTAATATTGGAGGAATCGAGACTTTTATCATAGTCTCAGTTACAATGGACTGGTCATGTCTTGAGAAGGTCAGATGACAGAATACCCAAGATCCTAATGTGCAGCCAGTTAGATCAGGAATACAGGAATGTAGGAAGCCCATGGCTAAGATACAAAGACAAGTTGAAAAGCAACTCGTCAGCAGTCAATATACCACATAACATCCTTGAGAGCTTAGCTTTGGAGCGGGTAAAATAGAGATCAACGTGTTTCAGTGGAGAAGCGAGAGCAATATCTAAAAGAACAGCCAATCTAACAGTGATCTCATCCCAAAATCCTCACTCTTGCTCCATATGTGGCCTCCTTTGTAAATCACTAGCGGGTCTTAAATGCCACATAAGATTATCGCACAAACCTTCATAACTGAATCAATAAGCTGTCAGATCCTCATACGTCGAAACCGACGGGAGAGTCCATTATATATATATATATATATATATATATATATATATATATATATATATATATATATATACGCTGTATACCGGGTGTATCAGCAAAATTGTGCAAATCGTGTAACAGCAAAATTGTAGAATTTTTAGATTAAGCTTTGAATCGTTGTATCTTAGAAATGATTAAAGATATCTTACTGAAATTGTCCCAGGTTTTTATAAAACTATTGGATCCTACTTTGACCAAGAAGAATGTATCATTACTTTCCAAGCTTAACAGAAGAATCATGATGAAATATATATATCTTATTCCAGGATCATTTTCCAACTTATTCAAGATGATCTTCGCCCTCTCTAACCTTCTAACTTTCTGTCCTGAAGTAACATGGTGTTTCACGGGTGTTCATTTTCAAGTCTTTTTTCACTGCCCTTTGGACTATGTTAGCTGAAACTCCTCTCTCAATGCCAAACGTCTTATGAGTACAATTAGATTTTCTTTTAATTGATCTCTTTAGCTACAAGTTGAAATGATGATCCCTCTTCTTGTTGTGACCTCCTGATCCATTTTTCCTCTCTTTTTTTTTAAACTTATTCATCGTTTTCTTCATGGTTCTTGAAAGCACTTAAAAGATGGAAGCCAGCAGATGAATGGTGGTAGCATTACTGAAGTCCTGAATAATCTTTTTCCTCTTTCCATTACTCAGTTGGAAAGACAGTGGGGTTGACACAAAATGATTTTAACCTGTTCCCTGTTCTCTTCTCCAAGGGTTTTTTCAGTGATTCTTACAACAAATGGTATCAAGATGGCTAAACGTCTTATCTGAAAACCTGAAAGAAGAACTCAATTAATTTAGTGGGATTTTAGGCAATAAACATTTTGTGGGGTGGATAATTATCTCATACTGTTACACAATTTTGCTGTTACACGATTTGGACAATTTTGCTGTTACACAATTGGGACAATTTTGCTGTTACACGATTTTGGACAATTTTGCTGTTACACGATTTGGACAATTTTGCTGTTACACAATTGGGACAATTTTGCTGTTACACGATTTGGACAATTTTGCTGTAACACGATTTGGACAATTTTGCTGTTACGCCCGGTATATATAGAGAGAAATATTCGTTAAATGAATAAAAAAAAATCCATCAATTCTTTAGAAATTGCTTTGTTTACATTAGGATAGGAAACTCAATAGATATGAATGTTTCGAGAGTTTCTGTAATATAAAGTCTCTATTCGCTTGGATCGACGGTTTCTCCTGCTAGAGTCGGGGGCGCAGTTTCGAATCCTGCCGGGTGGGGCGTCTTTTCTTTAATAAGAGGTAGATAAATATATATATATATATATATATATACATATGTATACATATTATTATTTTTTTTACCCGTAACCTTCTCGGCTCGTAGTAGCGCCACATATACTGCGGGCGTCGAAGGGCCGAGTTCCAATTCCAGTTGGGTTTATTATATTCATTTACGCGCAAATATTTTTGGGAAAAGTATAAATCCACCTCTTTACTCCCTAACTATGGATTAATTAGTACGAGTTATATCAATAAATCATTATTATCAACTAAAAATTCATATAATCTGAAAAAAAAACTTCTGGTCTTAAATGACCTGCAAAGGGTTGATAAACCATGAAAAATGAATCAAATAATAAAAACAAATCAGCTTCGTCGTTACGTTTTTGACTGGGAAAGAGCCACCTTTCAAACAAGTGGGACGTACAAAAGCAGTTCATATCTTCAGAAATGTGGGGAGAAAAATGATTTTCTGGGAGCAGAGTCACAACCATCACGTTCTCCCCCTCCCCGGCTCCGATAAAAATAAATGTTTAACTGAAAACAATAATAAAATGATTTCTTTTGCAAATTAACTGCATTTTGTTTTGTTTTTTTCCTTCTGCAGCCATGCGGTGTCGACTATCAAATCACAACTTACGTTGGACAAAATATGGACGACAAAATCCACAAAAGGTGAGATGACATCAGATTTTTATTCCCAAACCATTATCGTCTGTGTAAAATATTTTATCGACAAAACAATTCCCAACAGTTCAGACTGCAATCATCTTTACAACATAAACACGCTTTTTTTTAAAAAACAATTTTAAATTGATTTTATCCCAGAAGCCATTAACGAAATTCAACCTATGTTTTTTTTTTTTATTGAAAAGATAACAATTTCTGTCGACTTTTTCCATATTATAATGTTGAATCTTTACAACATGTTAAGGGGTTCACCCCTTTTTGATACAAGTGGACTCGCCCAGTGTGTACTTGTACTGCTGCCGGTGAATACCCGGGAGACCAGTGATACAGTGTGAGAGTGAGACAGTGAGGGAATGAGAGTGTGAGGTAACCGCTTTGTAGGAGTCACAGTTGCGAGCACGTAGACTCAGAAGGAAACCATACTTCGATACTGAATTTCCCAGACTGTATATATATATATATATATATATATTATTGCTACTAACCACATTTCTGGATCTACTAACCGTATTACCAATTGTATTATTACGTCAATACATTTTGCTATATTTCATTCCTGCTTTTGTCATTCATTTGAGACCGGATTTCATCCCGGAATCCACAACACAACATAAATCTGTTTTTGTTTTTATTTATTTTTCATTATTTACATTCTTCTGACCTGTCCTCGTCCTTATTGTCATATTCACGACGTTTCGGCCGTTGTACGGTCCGGCCTTCTTCAGATGATATACGTTGGAATTTCGAACCGAACACATTATTTCGTGAAGATTATTCTAGTTCCACGTGCCATGCCATTTCCGGCTATCTAAGTTTTCAGTTGTTTCCCTTTTGTAACTCAACTCTTCATGTTTAAGGTCCCCCTCTGTTGTGTTTTTTGATCATATGGCCCAGTGGATAAGGACGTTAAACCAGTGGCTCAATACCTGGCCATAGCAAAGGTGAACAAAAACTTGGCGACCTGAGTTACTAAAGGGAAAATAGCTGAATCAGATATCCAGAAAAGTCATGACGCGTGGATATAAAACAATCTCCCCCAGTGGACGAAATAAAGTGGACGTATATCACCTGAAGAAGGCCAGCGTGTACAACGGCCGAAACGTCGTGAATATGACAATAAAGATGAGGACAACAGTCCGAACAATGTAAATAATTATAATACCTCATCTTAGAAATATAGACAGATGCTGGTATTTTTTTTTTTAATATTTTTAATGTGATTTCCTCCTAGAAGCTGACACGAAATTCAACCAAAATTTTATTTACAAGATGGCAGTTTCTGTTGACTTTGTATATATTGTAATGTTGAATCTTTACAACATAAAACTGTTTTTTGTTTTAAAATATTTTTAAATTGATTTCCAAGAGCTTACGAAGAATCCAGTCTAGTTTCTACTGAAAACAAATCAGTTTATGTCGCCTTCATCCATATTGAATTGTTTAATGACCGTATCTTTTAAAATATAAAGTATTTCGCTTAATTTTTGGCGGGAGCCACCAACTCAATGGTTGCTATAAGAATTGGATGAAAATTTTCAACTGTTTTTAAGTTTTCTTTTGGTGTTTACTCCGAACGTTTAATTCTTTGCGAAGATAGAATCCAAAAATAAATTTGTAGAATGTATTTCGGTCGTTCTTTTTATGGGTTGCGTTTTCAATTGAAATAAACGTTTTTTTTGTTTGTTTTTCAGAAATTCCGTTTCGCTCTCCATCCGAAAGTTGAGTTATTTCGAACATGCGAACGAAGATCAACCACGACAAGAAATCACAAAGGAATTTAAATTTACTTCGGGTGCCATGAAACTGGAATGTACATTGGATAAAGCCGTAAGTCTTGCTACCTTGACATCAACTATAATCATTTCCGGTTGTTCCGTTTTTGACGACTTCCGGTAAAAAAAAAAAAGAAGGAAGAAAAAAAGCCCATCGGAACAGTTGCTATGAAAATATTTGTAGAAAAGACAGAGGGAAGCCACTAAAAGAAAATATTTGTAGAAAAGACAGAGGGAAGCCAAGAAAAGAAAATATTTGTAGAAAAGACTAAGGGAAGCCACGAAAAGAAAATATTTGTAGAAAAGACAGAGGGAAACCACGAAAAGAAAATATTTGTAGAAAAGACAGAGGGAAACCACGAAAAGAAAATATTTGTAGAAAAGAAAAGAAAATATTTGTAGAAAAAGACAGAGGGAAGCTACGAAAAGAAAATATTTGTAGAAAAGACAGAGGGAAGTCGGCAAGAAAATGACTAAAGTTGAGATGCCTGACAAGGATGGATTGCATTAGAGACCCTTCTTTGGAGTTTGCCAGGAATCTCGAGATGTACCTAAGAATTAAGATTCATCAGAAAATCCAAATAGGAAAAGCCTGAATTCTTCACGGGTACATTTAGTTATAATTAGTTACGAAGTACTTTACGCCCTGCCAAGACATCCTAAATAATGGGCTGTTACATTTTGATTGCGAGGATTGTCGGAAAAGATATATCCTTGACGATGTTTGGTTTCAGTGAAAGAAAGAAAGAAAGAAAGAAAGAAAGAAAGGGAAGATAGAGAAGGTGATAACGCTCTAACGTGTTTAACATCCTCTCCTGTGAATTGGAAAAAAACTTGTCAATTTTTAATCTTTTCATTTGTACCCTCTTACTTCTTTAAATAATGACCTGCTTTCATACTAATGATTTTTATTGCAATAATTGGTTACCGTTGTTATGTTCAAATATTTTTACTGATATTTTATAGTCGTAGAAACTCGCAATAAGTTTATCTATTCAATAAATTTTATGGCACATCAGAAATTAAAATAGGATAACTGTGAAATTTTCACTGGTACTGTTACTTATTATTATTATTATTATTATTATTATTATTATTATTATTATGAGTATTAATATTTTATTATTACATTATTATTATTATTATGATGAGTATTATATTATTAATATTTTATTATTATGAGTATTTATTATTATTATTATGAGTATTAAATTATTATTATTATTATTATGATTATTATTATTATTATTATTATTATGAGTATTATTATTTATTATTATTATTATTATTATTATGAGTATTATTATTTATTATTATTATTATGAGTATTATTATTATTATTATTATTATTATTATATTATTATATTATTATGAGTATTACATTATTATTATTATTATGAGTATTATTATTTTTATTATTATGGTATTATTATTATTATGAGTATTATATTATTATCAATGATTATTATTAATGTATTATTATTATTATTATATTATTTTTGACGTTAAAAATACGTTATTAAAGAACGATATTATTACGTCATTATTAATATTTTGCACCAAGTATTAATATTATTATTATTATGAGTAATAATGGTATTAAAAATACGTCAAGAACGACATTAGGTCCACCCTGACCAGGGGTGGTAGGACCTGTTAGGGTCCCAACTATGGCAAATAGTTAAACCCCAAACTGGAGTCAAAACAGTATGAAAGTGTAAAAATAGGGTTTAATACCAGAAATACTTTATAAAAAAATTATTACCAGCAATAAATTTTAGAAGGAAAAAATTATTATCAGCAATACTTAAAAAAAAATATTACCAGCAATGCAAACAGCTATACATTTTTTTAAAAAAATATTACCAGCAGTAGTTTTTTGAAGAAAAACATATTACCAGCAATAAATTTTTGGAAAAGAAATATTACGAGTAATAAATAAAAATTTTGCCTCGTCTACGATTTGGTATTTTTTTTTAATATAATCCAAATTAGAGACATTTGGAGATGCTGAATTTTTGTCATTATCAATATTATTAATTCTGTTGTTTTTTTTCTTTCTTTTTTTTATCAGCGATATTATTCCGGGGAAACAATGAATATTAATATCTGTGTCGATAATCCCACGTCTAAAAAAGCCAAAAGAATAAAAATCCAAGGTAAGTTTCAACATCATTTACTGGACGACTGACGCACTTTATAGTGACATAATATTGTTTTTCGAACTCCGTCTTCAAAATATGACTTATCAAAATCTATCGGTACTGGTGACATAAAAAGAAAACTATGACACATATCAATTCGACATTTAATCTCCTTCGAAGTAGACCCCTTCTGAAGCCACACACTTCATTCAATGTCGTTTCTATTGATGGAAGCATTCCTGGAACTCCGTTTTGCGGATAGAGAACAGTTGCCTCGTTGCATTTTCTTGGGTGTCCTGGACGTCTTGAAATATTATTTAAGTGGGATTTGATTTTTGGAGAGGAAAACGTTGCAAGGTGCGAGATCTTGGGAATGTGATGATTGTCGGACTTAGGGGAATGGCGGGCTTGCCCAGAAACTGTTGCACAAACCATGATCACTGATGTAACTCATCCGTTGTATGGTAAAATGATCACACTCTACACACTTTCTTTCCAGTTATGGCTACATCGAGCGGAAATGAGTGATAACGTTATATCGTAGTATGAATGTGCAACAGAGTTCTAGGCCAATCTGTGCCAAAAGGCTTCGCCCTGTGTACTTTAGCTCCGTTCGTCGTCATCCTTCGACCTCCCTATGGTTACTTGGAACTCCATTAAAAAACCCTTTTCACACTGTTCGGTCCTTCATTGCTATCCTCAGATCCCCAATGTCCAACCCAGAGTCCCGAGATATGGTCTCTGGGAAAGTCAATTTTCGTGTAAAGACACTTCCCGAAGGATGCCATAGTAGTAAGGATGAGACGATTTCCCTGTCCACTCGGTGGCAGTAGCTGGGAGATTTTTTTTATGATTAATTATTTTTAAAGAAAATATAATACAATGTCTACAAAAAATTGTAATTTCATTTCTTTGATTTAATAAATTTTTATTTTTCAGAAACTTAATAATATATAACTTTTCATGTAGGCACAAAGGACATGGATCATTTAAAGATCTACATATTCTCGTTTTTTATTAGTTTCTATTTTACTGGGGGGGTATTTTTTTTAAATGGCAGAAATATTTGGAGAGGGATGTTTTAGTACTTCCAATATAATTTTTTTTCAATATTCGGATTCTCAATAGATGACAATCCTAATATTGAAAAATTTTATATTGGAAGCACGAAAAATGAATTTAAATTAAGATGGAGCCAACAACTGACTTCCTACAATAATATTAAGTATCTCAACCAAACATTACTGTGGAAAATGGATACTATTGAAATGTTTACATAAAAATATTCATAACAAAGTGGAAAAAGTTTACTTGCGCGCGTTTCGTCCTTCAGGACTTAATCGGACTAAATTTCTTATGTTGTCACGAACGAGGGATGCTTGGAATTTTAGATTTTTATAGAATCTTATATATATATATATATATATATATATATATATAGAGAGAGAGAGAGAGAGAGAGTTCAAAACTTTGAAGCCTCGTCCCAGTATTATCTTGAGATGAACTTGACAAAAAGACTAAAAAAATGAAAAAAGAGCTCTTAGAGTTATTAAAAAAGAATGGAATCAATTATCAAACTTTGAGAAACCTTTGTAACAAATGCCAAAAAATTGTGCTGCAGTAATCAAGGCTAAAGGAGGATATTTTGATGAGAGCAAAATTTAATCATTTTTAATCATTTAATGCTTTATTTTTCTTTTTGTCATAATAAAATTTCTTATAAAAAATCATGTTTCACTTTTTTTTAACCATGTATAATAATTTTCTCTAATTTAAAAACAAAACTTTTGGGGCCAATTTAAAATATTACCAGGAGTGACCTAAAACTTTTGTAATGTAGTGTGTATATTCCCATCTTTTATGTTACTAAGACATTTGTTGATTTATTCTACCCTTCAAACAAAACAAAAAATTATGGGCTCATTCCTTTTAGAATAATGCAAAGGTACTGTCAAGGGTCAGGAATCCCAGTGCCAAGTATAGAACGGTTTAAAATAAAAAAAAGGATATTATGAAGAATTTATATTACTTATTATATTTTATATTCCTTATTAATATTATTTAATATTTTATATTACTTATTATATATTTATGTAATTTATATTACAACTCAAACCTTTCAACTGGCGTGTATATATTTAGCTGAATTTATTTAGAGTTTTTTTCTTTTTCTTTCCATAAGTTTTCTTATTAGATATTCCACATTGGGATAAAACAATATCTGCCAGGAATGGTGAAATGTTGCCAGAGCCAGTGCGCAAATTTACTGGAGATGACCTTGCGATCAGGGCACTCGCCAGAGATTAACGTCATAGTGAATTGCTTTCTCCTTTGATCATAGTAGCATTTTTTATGTCAAAAGAATAAATAAAAAAAACAAAACAATACGTCAAATGCATTGGTTGCCCACCGTAGTGAGACTGACCACAATTTTCACATAAAATTTGTAGTCGTGACAACATGACAAATTTAGTCCGATGAACTCCTGAAGGACGAAACGCGTCACAAGCAAACTTTTTCCATTTTGTCGTACAATTTCTCGAATATTGTTCTTGATAGATATAAATATATATCGTTATCTCATAATAATATGCAGTAAATGGGGAACTTTGTAATCCTATACACATCTATATATATCAGTCTGTTCAATATCTATCTATCTATCTATCTATCTATCTATTTTAAATCCCTTTAGAAAGTCTGGGGTTGAGATGCTGAATGTAACATCAATCTGCTAAATGATAAACTTTTACTCACATTAATCTTTATCTATCTATCTATATATATATATATATATATATATATATAGATAGATAGATAGATAGATAGATAGATAGATAGTGAGGATCAAACTCACGATTCAGTCATGACTGATTTAGCGAGACAAGCTCACTAACCATGACACAACCTCGATATTCCCAGATGATTTTTTAAGTGTAGCTGAAAGTATGGGGCACTCAGTGAGGAACTCACGATTCAGTCGTAAATGATTTAGCTCGCTAACCATTACACCGTGTAGAAGTGCCCTAACATTAATAACAAAAAAAAAGTATTAAAAGAAATTTAGTAATAACAAATATGCAACAAAAATTAGTTGTCAACTCTTCTCGGACTTATTTTAAATTTTTTTAAATTTTTAAATTTTTTATTGGTCTCTCACAAGCAAGGTGACAAAGCCACTAAGACGCAATGGGGGTGACAGGAAGTGAAAGTGAAAAATAATAAGAAACCTGAGAATGGGGAGCTTTGAAAAAAAAAAAAAAAGAAAGAGTGTTCAAGAAGACAAAAGATGGCGATTGACGTTGCATTTAAATTTTTGAAGATTGTAGTTGGCAGGGAAGCAAGAAATCGGAAGGGAGTTCCACAGGTGGGAAGTGCGATAAAGGAAACTATTAGAGGAGAAATGGCGGTTGCGTTTCGATGGTTGAACAGAAAGTCTTTGTGGACACCGTGTAAGTATTTGAAAGTATTTCTGCCAGTCAATGATCCGACGGGGACATTCATGTGTAGAAGCAAGACATTTTGAACATTAGTTATGAGTTGTTGCGTCGAGGTACACTGATGACAAATGTTTATATATATATATATATATATATATATATATATATATATTGGATTGATGTGAGTTTGTGACCCTGGCTTTTACGCTTTATATTTATATTTATATATATATTTATATTTTATATATATTTATATTTATATTAATATAAACACACTTTATATTTATATACACACACTTCTCACATATATATATCATTTATTTATTTGTGTGTGTGTGAGAGATAGGGGGGAGAGAGATTAACAAGACATTTATGTTGAATTTTAATTGAAACTCAAAAAAAGATACAAAGTATAGGAAGTCGTGGAGAGCTACAATCGCCAATGTCCTGAAGGGATAGTGGTAAACAGCGAGTAACCTGCCTACCGAGCTTTTGTGAATGAACAACAGAACAGGGAGTGGAAGGAAGTGGAAAACGATAAAAAATGCTACAAAGAATAGGAAGTCGTGGAGAGTCATGATCGTTCATGCCCTGATTAGACAGAGGCAAACAGCAAGTAACCTTCCTACTTACCGAGCTTTTTTTACATGGATAACAGAAGAGAGAGTGGCAGTAACAGTAAAATTATATTGTTAAATGTTACAAAGGATAGGAAGTTGTGAAGAGCCACGCCCAAATCCTGAACGAAAAGAGGTAAATAGCGATATATATATATTAAAATTTTTACTAAGCAAGTTACAACCTAGCTATATATATATATATATATATATATATATATATATATATATATATATATATATATATATATATATGTTTTGTTTTGTTTTTTTTTTTTGCGGGCGGGTATTTTTTTCCTCACGCATTTTCCTCCTTCGCGGTAATGTAAACATTCATATTAAATACTTCTGGGCTTAACCTCTATTTTTCTTTTTCTTTACAGTTTTGCAATTAGCCGACATCTGCCTTTACGAAAACATCACATACAAAAGTGTCGTGACGGAACTTGAAACAGAGTAAGTACAAGCAAATTCTGTCCTAGAAGCACTCAAAACATATCGAATCAGTGGTTAACAGGGGCAAGTAATGGCTTGTAAATCTTAATGCCTCCAAAACAAAACTGCTTTCATTTAACCACCACGGAGAGCCTTTTCTGCCTGCCGTCAGCATGGCTGATGCTAGACTTCTGGAGTGCAACACACTGCACCTTCTTCGACTTGCGTTTCAATTCACTTGAAGTGGAGCGACTACATCGAAGCAATAGCTGTGTGGTGCCAGAAATGTTTTTTTCTTGTCAGAGTCCATCTTACACATTTACAAATCTACCATTCATCTTTGCATTGAATACTACTGACATATCTAATCTGGTTCTCCTGTTATACATTTCGAGTTTCTTGACAAAATCCAAAGAAGAATCTGTAATTTAATTGATCCTGACCTGGGATCTCTCTACAATCACTTTCTCCCCAACCTGGCGTGGCTTCCCTCTGTCTTTTCTACAAACATTCTCATGACAGCTGCTCTGACGAGCCTTTTTTTTTCTCTGGTGCCCCGACTACATGAATTTAAGCGGGATACTGGATTGGCATCTAGGTCCCACCCGTTTACTGCTGAAATCGCTAAATGCTTCTAGTCCAACAGTTTATTTTCTCGTACCTCCCGTCTGTGGAACTCCCTTCCGTTTACTTGCTTCCCTGATAACTACAAACACTGAAAGTCAGATCTAAGCTACGCTAGAAAAATAAAAAAAATAGTTTACCTTCAATTGTTTGATCTAGACATACCCAAAACTATATTTTTTAATTCTGACCTTAGACTCCGCACCCCCGATGCTTTTTAACTTTCAAAAGAGGTAAGGATTTGTTTTCAAATTTCCTAAATAAATCATTTTTATCATATCTTATCTACCATCACACGAAGAGTTCCGAAACATGAAACATTATAGTGCCGAAACATGAAAGTAGCGATGCAAAATGTTTTATTGTAATCTATTATAATAAAAATATTATAATAATATTATTTTGCTCTACTCTGTATTGAGCACTTTTTAAGAACTGTGAGATTCTTACTCCATCTGTTCTTCCTCTTATTTATGATAAGGTTCCATAAAGTTCGTGTGCACTTTAAAAGATTTAACTTTATTTGTATTTGCGATAGAAATAATTTGTGAAAAGGATTAGAAAGAAGTAAATCTATATTTTTTAAGGTTTTATTGAAATTTTATTTAAGTTTCCACATGTCCTCCATCATTATCAATACAAAGATTTTGCAGTTCACGGAAAACATTTGCCAACTGATTTACAGTAATGCCTGAAATCACATTAGTTATTTTAGCTACACTTAAAACTAGGTACATTAAAGTTTATAACATTTTTTTACAGATTATTTCTATCGCAAATACAAATAAAGTTATAAATTTTTAAAGTGCACACGAACTTTATGGACACCCTGTATATGTGTGTGTGTGTGTGTGTGTGTGTGTGTGTGTGTGTGTGTGTGTGTGTGTGTGTGTGTGTGTGTGTGTGTGTGTGTGTGTGCGAAAAGTGTATATAAATATAAATAAACATATATATATATAATTATTTATATATTATATGCGCGGTACTTATTAGAAAGCGCTCAATATCAGAGATAGAGCTAACATCCAACCAAATATATATATATATATATATATATATATATATATATATATATGCTTACGGGCAAATACATTGGAAAATTATGAATCTACCTCCTTCTTTTACACCCAGCTTAATAAGTAGCGTGTGTATCAGCAAACCATTATCTCCAAAAATTCCTTGAATGTAAAAAAATATTTTCTGGCTTTAAATAACCTGCAATGGGCTAATAAGCCGTAAAAAACAAATCAATCAATCAACCACGAATAAAGCTCTTGTTAAATACTTTGTGATTAATTCTTTTGCTCTCTTTCAGGGAAGGTTTTCCGATTGAAGGAAACACGACCGGCTTTTGCCAGGTATACAAGCTGCGCCCGTTTCTAGACGCGGCGAAGAGACGAGCTGGTTTGGCCCTCAACGGAAGAGTTAAATATGAAGACACAATGTTGGCAGCATCAACAGAGTGAGATTTGTTTTCGTTTTTTCATGGTATGACGGGCGGAGATTTATGAAGACGGGAGAAAAATCGAATATTTCTTTTTTAACAAAATAGATATTTATTTCAGAATCATTGTCAACAATTGCAAAACAGATAGAAACATAGCTAACAGATAGATAGATAGATAGATAGATAGATAGATAGATAGATAGATATGGGTAGACTGAGATAGATAGATAGATAGATAGATTTGTTTGTTTTCGTATGTTTGTTTTCAAAATAGATTAACAATTAAACAGAAAATAGATAGATAGATAGATAGATAGATAGATAGATAGATAGATATGGAAAGAATGAGAGATAGATAGATAGATAGATAGATAGATAGATAGATAGATAGATAGATAGATAGATAGATAGAAGAATGAGTATCATTAACATTTGCAAAATAGATAGAACTTACTTGAAGATAGATAGATAGATAGATAGATAGATAGATAGATAGATAGATAGATAGATAGATAGGAGCATTTATTTGCTTCGGTATCATTAACATTTGCAAAATAGATTGGAACTTACTTAACCAGAGAGAGAAAAAAATAGATAGATAGATAGATAGATAGATAGATAGATAGATAGATAGATAGGAGCATTTATTTGCTTCGGTATCATTAACATTTGCAAAATAGATTGGAACTTACTTAACCAGAGAGAGAAAAAATAGATAGATAGATAGATAGATAGATAGATAGATAGATAGATTGCCTTCCCCAATCTCTCTTGCCCTCAGTACATGCCCCGTGAGGGTTAAGTTTTCCAAACCCTCCTTCCTATGCTAGGTCCAAGGAATTTCAGCTAACTCTTCCTGATTCTGAGTAGAAGTGCTATTTGCGGTTCCATTTTCCTTAAGATTTCTTTGTCGCTACGTCCATGGAATCTTCTGTATCTTTCTGTATAGACAAGGCTATTTTATTTTTATTTTTTTAATCATTTCACTCCAAGGAAGGCAATAAAGCCACTAAGAGGCAAGGACTTATTGAGGAGACAATAAAAGAAGAAGATAACGATTGACATTGCATTTACATTTTTGAAGATCAAAAAGCCGGACGTGCGATCGAAGAACCTATTAGC